ATTATAGGGGAAGGGCATTTAAGGTAGCCTCTCCACTACTGTTTAGATTGTTAGTTGTGGTCATCCTTGTGGATCCCTGGAGATTTCCCTAGTGCCAGATTTCTCATTAAGCCCATAATGGCTCCCTCTATTAAGTTATCTCTTTCCTTGCTCTTCTTCTCTGTTCTTCCCCCAACTCGACCTTCCTGATCTCTCATGGTCTCCTCCTCCTCCCCTTCTCCCCTCCTATTTCCCCCCTCCCTCCCCCCTCTCCCCTGCTCCCAATTTACTAAGGAGATCTTGTCCCTTTCCCCTTCTCCGGTGTCCATGTATCGCTCTCTTAGGATCTTCCTTGTTTCCTAGCTTCTCTGGGGTTGTGGATTGAAAAATATGGAAGTCTTCACAAATTCGAGTGTCATCCTTTGTGCAGGGGACATGCTAATCTTCTCTGTATTGTTTCAATTTTAGTATATGTGCTGACGAGCAAGCACCATAGGTATGTTTTACCAAAATGTTTTTTGTTGCTTTGTTTTTGAGGCAGGGTCTCACATGTAGCCCTGGCTGGTCTGGAACTTGCTATGTAGACCAGGCTGTGCTTGAATTCCCATAGATCCACCTGCCTCAGCCTCCCTAGTGCTGGGATTAAAGGTGGGCACTGCCATACTCAATTCTGTTTCAGTTTTTATATCACATCACTATTATTGTGGGTCTCCTGAAATATGGTTTGGGTCGGCCCGTACTTTAGGCCTATAACTTTCTTTTTTTTAAAAAAAAAATTATGTATTATATATACAGTGTTCTGCCTGCATGTATGCATGCACACCAGAAGAGAGCACCAGATCTCTTTACAGATAGATGGTTGCTGGGAATTGAACTCAGGACCCCTGAAAGAACAGCCAGTGCTCTTAACCTCTGAGTCATCTCTCCAGCCCAGGCCTATTACTTTCTTATGTTCTAATTTTTAAATCACCATATAGTGTATTAGATACCTTTATATTTTCCAAGAAAGTATCCTTATGTGGTTCTTCACCTCATCTCCTCCACCCCTTACTACCAGTGTTCCTCCCTCTAGGTCCACCTAACCTGCTCTGTCGTTTTTTCATGTCCCATGTATTCTTTTGCCCACCCTTTGTCTTTCCTCATCCACCAGTATTACCCTCTCTCGGTCTCCTTTCTAAAATTTTCAGCTTGATCAACATTTATGCCTGTTTACATATAGACCTTTTTTGCTGTGCTGGGCAATGAACCTAGAGCCTCAAGCATGCTAGGCAAGCACTCTACCATTCATGTACATTATCAACCCTTGGCGTATTACCTTCTAAATTCTCCTTGAGATAGTGGTATTTGACATGTTAATAGAGAAATAAATGTACTATATATCATACATTTTTATAGAGGGGTTGCTCTATGTAGCTCTGACTAGAGCTTAGAAATTGCTAAGTAGATGTGGTAATTTGAATGAAGATGGCCCCTATAGGCCCATATATTCAAGTGCTTGGTCCCCAGTCAGTGGAACTCTTTGGGAAGGATTAGGAAGTATGGCCTCCCTGGAGAAGGTGTGTCCCTGGGGATGGACTTTCAAGTTTCAAAGGCTCACACCATTCCCAGTTAGCTCTCGGCCTCATGTTTGTGAGATATAAGCTTCTAGCTAATGTTCAGTGCCATGCTCCCTGCCTCATGATGGTCGTGGACTCCCCCTCTGAAACTGTATGGAAGACCCATTAAATGCTTTCCTCTATAAATTGCCTTGGTCATGATGTTTTGTCATAGTAATTAGAAAAGTAACTCAGACCAATCTGGTCCTAAATTTGTAAAACTCCTCTTTCTACCTCCTGAGTGCTGGGATTATAGACATGAGTCATCATGCCTGGCCTTCATATCATGTATTTATTATTAGATATTTTTGAGACTACGTCTCTCTACATAGCCCTGGCTGTCCTGGAACTCTCTATGGAGACCAGGCTGCCCTTAAATTCACAGAGAACCACCTGCTTCTGCATTAGATCTCAACACTCGGGAGGCAGAGGCAGGTGGATCTCTGTGAGTTCGAGGCCAGCCTGGTCTCCAGAGCGAGTGCCAGGATAGGCTCCAAAACTACAGAGAAACCCTTTCTCGGAAAAAAAAAAAACAATAAAAAAATGTAGAGAGAACCAGGTTCAGTGCCTACCACTTTGCCTTAGCCAGTCTCAGTTTACACATGATGCCCACATCCCATCCACTTTAGCATTTTACCCCCCATTGTTTTTGTTTCGGACTAAATATTATTATTAACAGTTGCACTGGGGATGGGGCTATAGCTCAGTGATAAAGCAATTGTCTACCATGCACAATTCTGGGTTCTGGCTCCAAAAAAAGTTGCATCAAAATCATTTTGGTTTGCTGGGCATGGTGGCATATTTCTGGAGTTGCAGCTAGTTGGGATGCTGAAGGAGGGGTATCAAAAAATCCCAGTCCTAAAGACACTTAGCAAAACTCTGGGTAATATAATTTCAATTTTTTTTTTTGGTTTTTTCGAGACAGGGTTTCTCTGTGTAGCTTTGGAATTTCAAATTTTTTATTCTATTTTAGTTTTTGGTTTTTCAAGACAGAGTTTCTCTGTTTAGCCCTGGCTGTCCTGGAACTTTTTTTTCTTTTCTGTAGACCAGGATGGCCTGGAACTCACAGAGATCCTCCTGCCTCTGCCTCCTGAATGCTGGGATCAAAGGCTGTGCCACCAACTCCAAGCAACATAAACCTTTTTTAAAGGCTGGGGATATAGCTCATTGTTAGATCTCTTGGTTTTTTTTTTTTTTTTTTTTTTTTTTTTTTTTTTTTTTTTTGATAGTTTTTTTTTTTTTTTTTTTAAACAGTTTTTTCCCTGCTTCCCAGCAGAGGGAACCAGATTTCATTCAAGGGGGTTTGGAG